ATTAATACCATACTAGTCGAAAAATTAATAAACAAATTATTGGTAAAAACTAAGCACAATCGTGCCTGTATTGTTGTTTGACGTCGACCTTCACAATGTTCATAAGATGGCCGACGATTGTTTCCCTTTGCTAGAAATAAAGTGATCACGGAGACACATGTTTCGTGTCGCTTTACCCCCCTCTGTTCGCAACGTTGCCAGATTCAGTGTTCCCCTCTTAAATTCATGTGTTTATACATTTAAGAGTATATGAAAATAATTTAATTCATGACTAGTCTTGCCTCTCGGTAACTTTATCTGACAGACACACGGGTAAAATCTTCTTTTTTCACAACTTTGAGAATGTCTAGAATACACAGATCTATCCCACGAACAAGTTCATCTGTCACATATGCGTTTACCTAGAAAAGCTATAACCAGTATTTATAAATTTCCCTCTCGTTAAATATCACATGCGTTCTAACCACATTTCACGTTAGAACGCGCTCGGCACAAATAACGAAATTAAATGGAAATAGAGCCTGGCAACGTTGCCTGTATACCGTGTTTGCGAAATATGTGCTAGGGTCCTTATTTATCAGTATAGTTTCGCATTCACTCTCGGACACGCACTATATTTACAAGTCGCGCTAAATATATCTATTATGTATATACTATATTATCTTACTATTCTTAAGGCTAGTTTAGCTTGCTGCACACACGTGACGTGGTCCATGTGACATTTGAAGACACTGGGTGGTCAGTCGCTGTCAGAGCCCACTGCATTAATCTTTTTTCTCTTTTTCGCTTGTTTTAAGTTCACGATTTCCTCCTCCTGCATTACAATAGATTGTAGATTAATGTATGTAGTGTGTAATGTAGCGAAAAATGCAAGGGCAACCATTCAAAACGGAACAATTGAAATATCTTCAGATTCAAAAAGAAGAGAGCACATAAAAAGAACGTTACGTGTTTTTTGAACGATCAATTTAAGAGTTTTCTTCAGAATGAGCTTTTTAACTTCTTAATATAGTACAGTTAACAGTTTTTATTTTGCACATTGTATCGTAAACGAAGATGAATTTAATTACGTAGGACACTGAACTGACCTTGACTTAAGAATTTAAAATGAAGTACAAAACCTAACCAAGACCGATCGAGGAACATTTATCAATATCATAAGATAAACCGCAATTAAAGGAAATTAGTTTTAAGAAATACCACGAAAAATTGAATAATCTGCGGCAAGATTCAAAAGGATATTTGGACAAAAATCGATTTATAATTCCTTATTTTCTTATTTTAAAGAAACGTTTTGGCATTATAGGAGTTGTTGTAAATTTGATTAAATATTCGATATGTACTTTTTAAATCGTATTTATATATTTTTTGGTGTTCCGTTTTTTATGATTCACAAAATATACTACACATTCTCTTCCGATTTCAAATAATTACCTCACTACTGGATGTACTGCCAATATGATACCGAGGAAGCGGCCTTTTCGAACTAGACCTTTCCCTCGTATTAGCACCAGTTTTTCTATGACCTCCTTTACCAGCGCCTCCGCCACCTCCAGCCGAAGCTGCCGCATGTTTTCGTGCTGAACTTGTCGGCGGAGGCGGAGGAGGTTCGTTTTCTTCATTTACTTCCGCCAGTGCAAATAAGTCTCCGTAACTTTTCCTTAAGGAATCGCTACTAGCCGCTTGTGCTTGTTGCAGAGCTCTTTGCATCCCTTCGGAATGATAAAGCTGCAACTCCGCGGAGGATGTGCAATGTTGTCGTAATTGATCTAGATGTCCGAGAACTTGTTCGCCGGAAGGTGGACCAGGTTGCTGATTGTGCTTGCCGCTCGATCGTTTCCGTTTGTTTGGACTAGTAGCAGGATAACGAGTACTTAAAAGATTTGCGAGCAATTCACCGAGTTTCTCTTCGTAATCGCGACACCAGTAGCGCAATGCCGCGACAACGAACATGTCTCCATCCACATTTTGTCGTGTAAGCAATTGTCGCAGAAGTTCTAATGTCGGCCTGTTAAGAAATTGTTTAGATTAATGTGAATATATAAACTACAATTGAATATTTTTTTAAGTAGGAGCTACTTACTTTTCTTGTTTAAGCATAAACAGTATCGATGTAAGTGCTTCCGCATGATCGCGAAATTGCAATTTAGGTAAAACAGGCAGTACGTAATCAATTGGGAAGTCATGGGCAAAAATTAATTGCCAGAAACAATACTGTTCAAATGTCTCCCAATTTAAACTAGCTGTCAACAGTGACGTGAATGATTCCTTTTTTAACATCTTCAGGTGCCCCTGCATTATTTGACAAACTAATTCTTGGAGTTGGCAAGCATCGACAGTCGATACAACCAAATGTAAGAGTTGTACGTTTCCTAGAGCCACATTTTGGAATTCCATGTATACATCAGGCACAAGATAACACAGCATAAATATGTTGTCTTCATGGCAGAGCTAAAAAAAAGAACAAAGTGTCAACGTTATAAATAAAGTGCAAAATTACCTTTATAGCATTTCCAGATATGTCATTAAAATCTGACTGTATCAAATACCTTCAAATCTGACACTAAACATGCATCCAACTTTTTCTCTCGATGCGCACAGAAATCTTTATATACAGATGCTTTAACATCATTTAATACGTTACTGAAAAAAAATGATCGATAAATAACAGAAAAAATAATGTGTTATGTTATTGTTTTCACATTCATGTAATTTAAAAGTAATTACCGACCTTGGTTCACCTTCTCGCTTTTCTTCTTCTCTGCCCCAGACTTTTAAAAAGTAAAGTAATAGGTAACCTATCCTTGGTTGAACAGTTTGCAGCTCCGCAAGTACTCGAGCTAAGAGTTTTCGCCTATTGTCCTCTTCTTTACATAACTGAAATTGATTTCGAAACATAACAAACAACGGTGTACTTATACTATCAGTCAAGGTTTCTTCATTCAAATTATCCGTTGGGAATATTTGGGACGTAATTTGTGACGATAATATAGTTGATATGCACGAAGCCAATGCTGGTATAGTTTCTGCGTCGATTTCATCTTCTACCACCATTTGTACTATCCTTTCCATTGTTTGACACCTCACTTCATTGTCCGTTTCACTGTGCAAGCTTTCTACAGCCGTCCTTAATTCTTCTGGTTCTAAGATTAAGTTTAATTGAGATGTAATGTCTACTTTTTTCACCACACAATTTGCATTTTTTTGTTCGTTTTTCAATTTCACATTCGCCAAGGGAACATCTTCTTCGTCTTCCTCTTCAACTTTGGTCACTATCCTATAACGCGAACCATATTTTAGTTTAATATCTTCGTACCTTACTTAATATCTTCTGTTATATTTTTATTCTAATGTTAACTTACCTTAATGGCATTTCTTCTTCTTCGTCACTGAAAGCCGGTTCTGGATCTTGACTCACGTGATTGTTTTCAATACTTGTATTTCCTGCATTCTCCAATGGAACTCCTGGTGTTAGGTCCTTATTAAGTTCTTCCATTTTACCTGAATATATTGGAACCTTATTTCCTGCTTAAAAAGATCATGCAAAAACCAAAGTTAGTAAGCATTGAAAGTGCTATAAGCTTGAAGATACGGTGAATAATAATGTGTGTTAACAGAAAAGTCCAAAAGATGAAGTCTAAACTGTGTTTAAAACAACTTGTTAAAATAGTAATATTTAAACCCATAAATTTCATATGAATATGGACTCTATTGCTTTTTTTTCTGTTCTCAATATGTACATCTAATATATATATATATATATATATATATATATATATTAAATATATAAAAAAATATATAAATATATATATATTTACACTTATGTGAAGTATGTGCACTTATAGATGTCTACAGATATGCGTGATATTAAATGATGCATCAATAATGCAATTTCTACAGTCATGTCCTTGTACAATGATATGTTAGTATTCGTGTACTATTTTATAATAATCTACCACAAAAAACATGCAAAAATTTATAATAATTTTACCAAGATCTGCATTAGGTGGTAAACAAAATTCTTTAAATGTTTCCCTTATTTTACTTCTCAATTCACGGTCTAATTTGGGACTATCAAATAGCGGATAAAGACTTGGTAAAACACGTTTCTCTAAAATTTGCCTTAATGATGAAAAGATTCCATTCCTCACTTTCTCCGTTAAAGGTGGATAGAAGTTTGGTATTATCTAAGAAAGGAAATAAACGTCAATAATTTCTCTCCTAAAATGAAATATTTACAATTTACATGAAGTTATTAAAATTAATTTCTATTGTTACCCTGCATAAAAAGTCTAACAACGTGGCAGTGACAGGTGGATGAGACCTCATAGAATTGTGCATAACAAGAATTGCAGGTTCAATATTCATAATGTTATCTTTCTCTGGTTCAAAAAATAACCAATCATAAAATAAAGCCAATTTAGCATTGCTTGCAGCCACAGTTGACGTACAAGTGGTGAATAACCATCCTATTACTGCCCATCGTGGTATAATATCTGAACACAATAACTCATTTGTTGGATGAATCACGCCAACAATAAATCGTATAAGATCACATCTTAATGACTGCGATTCAGGTGTGGCCAGGTACTGTCTTTGGAACCAATCTTGGTACCGTTTGTGGTTACCAAAACGCACTTGACTTGTTAAAAATACTAATTTCCTTTCCATGTCAGGTGTAAGTCTGGACTGTAGAAACCTTCTAGAAGTTCGAGTTTGTAAAAGTTGTAAAACTCCACTGAAATTCGGACAAAGAGATTTTGGATTGAGAAGCATATCTTTCCAAAGTGCTTCAAATTCTGGTATTCTTGCTACATTTTGCAACAATCGTACCAAATCCCTAAAAATACCAAATATTATTTGATGCATTAAATTTCGATAGTTAGTGATAGTTGTTAACAGAGTAAAACTTATTTACCTTCCAATAACCAAACAATCAACCATGCGTTCCCTTATTAAAGATACAGTAAAAGTAACTTCCTTTTGGCGTAATCCAGATAAATGAGGTGCATTATGATCTTCTATTAACCGCAGATAGGTATAAACAATAGATGCCACTAAAAAGGGAAACTTATCTAGCCAAGGGCGATTTTCTTGAAATATATCCAAAAGGGCATCAACTAGAAACAAGTTTCTTGGCGAAATATCACCACCAGCAGCATGCCTCAACAAACTTAAACAAAGATTATCCACACCAGCTACACTAGTTCTTATCATTTCCCTCACAAGCCATAATAACTGGCTTCTTGTTACATCATTTAATCGCAGGTATCTTTCAAGTACTAATTGATTAAGATGTCCTAAAACAATTGCGAGACCATCTCGCGTAATTAAAGTCAAGTCTCTGTAACTTTTAGCAGCACTTTGAGGATCCGTCAGAATAACCACTAACAACCCCAACGAAACTTCTTCATGCGTTTTGTCTTTACACACAGCATTGTTCAAGGTATCATGGGCTTCCTTTTCTGACAGTCCTGCAGTCAGGTTTTGAAGCACTGTATAACATCTTTCAAATTTCTGAAAGAGAAAAAAATAACAGTGTCATTTCAATAATATAAAACAATACGAGGAACACGCTTATGTAGGAGGTAAACTTACTAACTAAAATACAATGAAACTTAAAGAAGGCATAATTAAAACTGATATTACAAACTGCAAAACATGTTATTGCGAAAACAACTATTACATTCTGAATATCAAAGCTCTACAGTGCATATTCTAATAACGTTACATCATCGCCATAGGACTCCAGGCGAAGATATTCAAATAGTAACCGATGTATATTAAATTCATAATCATGTAAATGCTTTGAATATTGCCGCCAAGACGCGTGGTTCGACGTGTGGCGCCGCGCGGTCAGCGACGTGCGCGACCGTCGCAACAATGGCGGAGCCCCTCGCACCCGATACGTATCCAGTGACTACTTCAAATATTTATGTTACCTCTTCCAAGTCGTCCTTATTCTCTATGCAACTCGTGCTGAGTAGCCGGGACGCGGGAGTTTTCGTTTGTTCCATTGCTGCTGGCTAGCCCGCGGCCGTCCCGTAAACGTTATTCCAGGCTCTGTCGAGCCCTCAGCCCTCAGCCCTGTGCCCCTGGCCGCTTGTGCTCGCCTCCGTGCATCGTGATCGTCTCACTGCCTCCTCGTACTCTGTCTCTCTCTTCCCCACTCTTCGTCTCTCGCGCGGTCTCTTCACTCTGTTTATTCCTTACCACGGACCTCCCCGACTCTCTGAACTGTTCCGATGCGATTGCGCATTGATACATGCGCCTCTCCGCTTCTCGGCCTCGCTTAGTGACGTGTGGTCCCCACCACTCACGGCAATCACCATATGGACCAATCATCGTCCACCAACCCGTACACACTGATCGACATTGGTGGGGGTACCGTAGAAAAGTAGTGCTGCTTACAGGAACGTATTTATTAAGGGTGCGCACCAAGAGGACGGTCACCTCAAAGTGCTGTGAACCTTCCGACCAGTATGCACACCGTACCAAACCATACAAAAGGGTTCACAGTCTTCCGCGTTTAAACGGTTCTTTTCATTTGTCATACGATCTTGTATCGATTAATTTTTCCCCCGAACATCGCAGACCTACATATAACTATGACCCACTCACGAACGATTTCATTATACCAAAGGAACGGATGTTTAGCACTAATTAAATTTGTATAAATACACGTTGCGCTCATGCGTATGGATCATCGCGTGATTCGAAAGCATCATAAATTGTATCGTATAACGGATAATGGGGATGTTTGGCGCATTAGCTGGTTGGTTTCGCGGAATGCAGAAACGAACGTATTCCAGCAAACTGTTGCACACGTTTCGAAACTTTCCAACCGAAATACGAATTTCTAATGAAATAGCTACAACGTTTCTTGGGAACACTGTTTTATTCGACCATAAAAAACGAATGAAATGTTACATTACATTACAAAAAAGAAATCCAAATGCGAAAAGTATAGTATCCACTGACCACAAATGAGAATGGTACCACGAGGTCATCGGCATCTCGACTTCAAATTACGTTGAACTTTATAAAAATAACTCTATTTGTAGGGAACGAAAAAAATTATGCAATTGCAAAATCGTGCTTTTGGAATCATGTAGCATCGTTGTTATTGAGCAATGCTCATTCTGAAAGCAAATAGAAAACAATCATCCGAGTAGAATTGCATCAAAGATTATGAAAATTGTTAGCACTCGGGCGCGTAAGTTCATAGCTATATAAACACGAACCTGTGGCGTGAAACTGCGCCTGCGCATATCATGTATGCACGAAGAGACCAGCCAACTAATCGCATTGCGTGCCCCGGCCATGCTTCCCGCTTTTCGTTTCCTCGTGTTGCTTTGTGAACCTCTTTACACTCTTTTCCGGATCCTGGTCGTTTTGTGATTGCAAACTATATGCGAGCATATTGGGATTTGTACGATTGTTCTACCTAGATTTTATTGAACACGTTTCATGGGATGTATGAAGTTGCTTCGCACCGATACATTCGTGCACGTCAACCTAACCCCTAATAAGTGCAACAGCCACGGACCTGGCATTCCAATACGATGTATAAGGCTTTCCTTCAGGTATCCGTGGTGTTACAACTCCGTTTTCCTTCCTCTTTCTTAATACAAAACTCGCTACGTAGTCATTGTTTTCCCGTATCATTATCTTTTATCGAGTAAAGCATGGCTCGGAAATATCTTTAACCAATCTAACTTTGTGATACAGACGTTAAAACCATTCTACTGAAATTTTATATTTAATAAATGCATTTACAAAATAGATATACCATTTAATTTGTATCCAAATTAATACAACTGTTTAAACAACTCTTCATAAAATCTTAAGTAGTTTTATAATTATTCATTATGAAGTTTTCATACAAAAGGCTACATATATAAATTACGTACTATTGAAACTGCTTCGTTTAGTTACGGTTAGTTCTCAGACACGCGTAATTAGTACTCCATGTTTTTTTAATGGTATGCTCCTCTAGAATGCAAAATAGTACAGTAAAATAAAACACGGTAAACAATGGAACAGATAAATAACATATTATTACTATTTTGAAGTCATCGTGAAAAGGAAGTTCCTAGTAATTTGAGACGTAATTCTCAGATACATCCTCAACGAAGGTTCAGTGAGAAATGACCAGCCAAATACATTCTACGAAACTTGCCTACTTGTGAACGTCAATGAACGCATGCGCATAAAAGGGTCTCGTGAATAGCTCTCATCAGGATCGTATATGACGGAGACAGTAAAGAGGGGATTGAGTGTATCCAAAAACGTTGTAAAAGTCACTTTTTTTAGTTCACTGGTAGGGTCATGTATATTACCCGTGACACATCCTTAAGAATAATTTAATTCCTTTAGAATTCACAAGCAAGTCAATTAACAATTTTTGCAAGTGTAAGAATATATTTCCAGAACGATTTTATTGATTTTTTAAATGTATTGTGTAAACTTGTTTATTTACTCATTTCATCAATTCATAATTATTTCTGGGTTGGAGCACACACATCACACGATTATTCAGAGATCTTCAATTATCCTTTTCACTTTCTTGCGCTGATCTATCGCGCCGGTGACTTACAATTACGTATTATAATCGCATCATCTGAATACAGATGTAAACTATTATGCGTTAAAAGAAAGATGACGCGTAGTGGAGAGTTTGTGACTCAATGATCAAAATTGATGGGCGTGTGTACTATTATCGCTTTTATTGGATAATTGATCACATGTATAAACCACTACGCCGTAAACAATTCGGAGGAATATATACTTAAACGAGTCATAGCATTTGAATTTACACTTAACAAGTACTCGGTGATCTACGGATAACCGTGTCTCGAGCACCTGGCGCACGGCCAATGCGGCTGTGGAAAAACGTGTTATCGTGAATATCTCTCATTAAAACGAACATTGTATTCTTTTAAGTTTCATTTTGTGTAAAACTACTTTGGGATATTTCGAGCGTAATTGCGACATCTGATGACTTCATACAAGCTTAAGAGAAATTTATTCTGCAGTTGCGCGTCTGAGCTGCTATTCTAGTTAATAAAAGACCTCCTTCAGTTGCACTTTTTTTTATTAAACAAAATTATACATTTTATTAGAAATTTTACAGATTTCAATGCGACGAAAACTTTTTTCTTGTACAAATATTTCGAGTTCCGGCAAATATGTTTAACATTTTTAATTGATTAATTAGCTGTTAATAATAACACATTTATAAGGATCCAGTAATGTATTTACTAGGATATCAATTCAATAGAATAATTCCGGTGTTGATATGGTAATATCTCGCTCAAAAATGGATTGTAAATGGTATCACTTAATAAATCGATGTTTGTTCGATTCAAAATAGTACAGTACAGTTGAAAAGCATTCTTTAATGTGTATGATGACTGTATTCAGCAAATAAATTTACATATACGTTTTTGGATGTCATTACTTTTAATTTTATGAATACTTGTATGTAATATATATATAATATATATATATATTAATCGTATTAAGAGTAATGTAATAATTAAATGTACATAACAATTTAACAACTCAGTTAAATATATATCTACACAATACTATTAATTCTTTCAAGTTCTACATGTGTAAGATCTATGATTTGTCTATAAACAATATATTTTTTACATTTCTATGAAATACTCAGTTTTGTTAGTATATTGGTGTTCTAAATACACAATATTGAAAACTCTTATACAGTAACCACGTTTGCATTTGTAATTGTCATTTAATAAGGAATGATATACTGTGATTAAAAGTGTATATTTAAAATATTCAAAGTTCGTGATTGTGAATTGGTTCGTGCATGATTATTTTTATATTAAGAGAGCATAATGTGTATAAGTCAAGTAACTTATTTTTATATATACGTATGTAGTAAGGAATTTTTATTCGTCGTTGTTTATTTTATTACTCGGTAAACTTTTGAACAATTCGTAAGTACTGGATTATTCTTATGCGGAATATATATAAAATATGATTGTATTCAAAAAGTGCAGAAAGTCAAGAAGTGAAAATAATTTTCGAGAACATTAAACTTCGTTGTATTTAATATAGGGAGATTATCTTTAAATTGTTTGATCCTACGATATATCTAAAACCGTTATTGACAAGTTTGGCAGTTTTCTTTTAAATTCAAATATCTTATATCCGTAAATACTTTTGCAATTCATGTAACGAGAAAATTTTGTCATGATTAGAACTTATAATTTAGAAATATTTGTACTGATTAACTCACTGATAATTGCATCCTTACCACTTATGATATTTGTAAAATAGTTTGAAATGCAATTGTATTTAAAATATTTGGACTTCGTCATTAACTAGTAAGGTTGGTTTGACATAAGAACACTTTAACATAAAATATAAGAAGGTGCAGAAACTCTTTCATACATTCTCGATCTTTTAACATTATTCAACAATAACTTAAGTATAAAAGGTAAATAGTATATTCTTCTGCCAATGTAACAACGCTGGTTATAAACAATCAGAGTTTCCTGAGATATTAAATGTGTATGAATAAAAAGTTCCAAATCTGCATAAAAATCCACATACATTATTGGTATCAAAACACACTACGATTTTCCTTTTTTAAATCTTTGCCGTGCTTGCGCTTTACTATACTTGGGATGCTTTTCTTTTTCATTATTCATTTCAGCATCAACACCATCAATTTGTTCTTTATTTTCGCCAAATAGATCCATTGGTGGTTCCAATAGTGATTTTCTTTGACACTTCACAAAGTAGCGGAATCCTTTTGCAATACCGTATCCTAACATTGCTATAGACATTGTCAATAAGGCCATCAATAGGGGATGCTACATACAACAAAACATTAAATAATTATTGTAAAAACATTTTACACATTTTTAATTTTTTAAATCTTAAAATACTATATGTACCGTTAATGAAGGTTTATTTGTAAAAACATAGTCAGCAATTACGACTATTACTCCTAGTATGATACCGACACCAGCTCCAAGCCAAGGTATCTGTTGATCAGCTATAAAATAATTTGATATTAAAATATCGTAATGAACATTATTAAGGTCAATATATTTCTTCTTTCATAAACAATACCTCTTTTATCTTTTATTAATAATCTGGATACTTTGTTCATTGCATCTAAAATTGTTGGTTCGTTTGGTTGAAGAGATAATGCCTTATTGTATGACTGAAGTGCTTCACTAAAGCGAAATGTTTGTGATTCCACTTCAGCCTTTCTAAAATAACCCTAAAATGAAATTACAGATTATATTTTAATTAAATATTACATTCGTTACACCTACTTGAACAGATATCTTTGAAAAATAATTTCTCATTAATTTGTACGCAACAAATTAATTATGTATAAATACCTTGGTCCAATCAGGCTTTAATTGAATCGTCATTAAAGCATCTTCCATTGCAAAGTGATACTGTTGCATTTTTAAGAAGGCATACGACCGATTACTATACAAAGAGTAATTTTGCGGATCAAGTTTAATTGCATGTGTGTAATGGAACATAGCCTCTGCATATTTTTGTTCTTTAACACATGTATTTCCACGCTCTTTGAGGGTTTGAACCTTCAATAAAAATATCACAGTATTATGACAAAAATACAGTCTACCTGTATTTAACTACTTTCACTTCAACTTTAAACAAGTTTAAGCAAAGCAGTTACTAATCACATTAAGCTACATAATACTACTCAGTTCCCAATT